CGAGGCCGCGCTCCCTCTCGCGAGACTCGGCGAGCCACGGCCCGCTCCCGGCTGGCTTTTTTTTCCGCGGCGGCCCGAGGTCCCGTGGATCTGGCTGCTCGCTGGCTTTCGATTCGGAGGCGGTTTCGGAGAAGCGAAAGTTTTTTTTTTCACGGCACCGAGACGCCGTGTGGCGAGCTCTCACCCCGCCTGGTGACGCTGGCTGCGGCCTCCGCCATTTCCGGGCGGGCTGTACTTTGTCACGAGCCCTGTGTCTTTGTACGCGGTCGCCGCCTAGCCCATGGCCAGCTGCCGGTCATCCGCGGGTCACCGAGCTCTCGCTGTCATGCCAGCACAGCCCTCATCGCCTACCGAGTTTCACCCCCCCCCCCAAGGCTGCTGCTCCAGGAGGCGCTGGGACTGTCCCCAAAACTTGTTTTCCCTTCCTGCTGGGTCCAACGCTTTCCAGACGGCTTGATCCGGGCTCGTAGCTTTCAAGATGTCACTGGACACCAACAAGTCCCAAGTGTGTCTCTGCAGCTTTGATGATGTCAACTCCAGTGTCTTAACAACGATCGTCTCTCCGTGTGGGTGCCAAATTAGCATCTTAAGACTCTGGCGTCCAAAGCTGTAGCTGTGCTCGGTTTTTACCCCAAATTCGTCCCTCTAGCTTGTTCTCTGAGGTAGCTAGGAACCGGGACCATTTACTTAGCTACCAAAACCCTAACCCTGGATTGACTTCTCCTTCACCCCCACATCTGTCCTAACTGTAAATCTTGTCTGCTGGGTCTGGATCATCTCCATTCGCACAGTTCTACAAGAAGCCTCAATTACTCTGGCCAGAATTATTGGCAGTAGCCTCCTAAGAAGAATTCTCTACTTCTCTTACTCCTACTAGGTTTTTCTTAGCACAGCAGCGGGGCATCATGTTCAAGTAGCAAGAGATGGTGGACTCTTAGGCAAATCAAGTCAGATAACATCCCTCTTCTCCTCAATACTCTCCACAGATTACATGTTACGCTAACCGTCAACCACACTTCCTATCAGGACATAGATGATTTAGCTTCTTGTTACACAACTCCATGCTGTTCCAAGCATCCCTTCTTTACACAGAGCTTTCACAATTCATTACACTCCGCTGAAAGCCCTAAGAGATGATTTGTTTACAATACTGTCATGGACCTCACTTCGCACCCCTACTTGGCTTGCCCCTCCCCCACAGCACTTATCTCTCCTACTATGTCCAATCATAGGTGTGTGTCTACGTCCTCGGCTAAAATGCAAATATTTTGAGGAAGGGATGTTGTTTTTGGTCACTGCTTGCGTCATCGCGGCCAAGTGTAGCAGCTGGCACAGGACAGCCGCTGTGTAGATTTTTGCTGCCAGAATGAACAACTGGGATGAAAGCAGAGCTCAGAGCAGCAAGCAGGATGTCTGGTGAGGTGAGAGGGTGCCCAGTGATTATCTGGGTGTTCGAGTGGGGGAAGCCGGAGAGGGTAATGAGCTGTGGTGTGACTGGTGCACAATAGCTCCAAGGGTCCCTGCTTCAGTACAGAGTCAGTACCAGGGTGTGCAAAGCTTGGGCTCGGCTTGGCTTCCCATTGTAGGTCTCAGACCAGAGTTGCCTTCTCATGCTTCATAGTGAGCACATCTTTCCCATTGGCAGTTCCTATAAACCGATGATATGCGGTACTCAAATTTACATCTCCCGGCTTCTAGCGCGTGCACACACACACACACACACACACACACACACACACACACACACACCACACCCCTGCCACCTACATTGGTTTTTCTCCCATGGGGCTGGCTGGCGATAGAACTCAGGGCCTTATGCATATTAGGTAAGTGCTCCAATACAGAGCTATACTCCCTGCCCTAATCACATAGTGCATTTAATTGCCAGTCTGACAACTTCTCCGTTACTGCATCTACCTCTCCCTTCTCCCCACAAAAAACTGCCGTTACCCATGTTTCCTAGGGTGACCAGCGTCCTGTGGTTTGTGTCTGCTATAGTTTTACTGGATCTCCTAATAATTCATGTAAAATTGAGTCTCCACTGGGGCAATATTGAGAAATGGTTGTGTGTGTGTGTGTGTGTGTGTGTGTGTGTGTGTGTGTGTGTGTGTGTTTATGTAGATGCACACATGTGCCATTGTACCCAAGTACAGTGAGAAGACAACTTGCTGGAGGAAATCGGTTCTCTCCTTCACCATGTGGATCCTGGGAATCAACTCAAGCCATCCAGCTTGGCAGCAGGTAGCTCTTACCCACTCAAGCCGTCTTGCCATCTGGCTCTCACTCTCTAACCCTGGCTGTCCTAAAACTGTAGACCAGACTGGCCTTGAACTCTGCTTGAACAGAGCTCTGCCTGTCTCTGCCTCCCAAGAGCTGGGCGGCAAGTCCTCAGGTTATTGGTGGCTTCCCTCCTGGGGGGATGAGTGCAAGTCTTGAGAAATAAGTTCTTTTAAGAGCAAGATGTTAAGGCTGACCTCTCTACCTGCTGTCTGGCTTCCTGTCTCACTGTATTTCTTCCTCTTAAACATACTATATGCTCTCAGCTATGATGCCATCATGTGTGACTCACTTGGGGGGGTGGCATCTCTCACAAATGAACAGCTGATCTTGGATTTGCAGTCTTCAACAGTAAGCTAAGCCGGGCGGTGGTGGCGCACGCCTTTAATCCCAGCACTCGGGAGGCAGAGGCAGGCGGATCTCTGTGAGTTCGAGGC